CGTTTTTCTCCCTTGCGGGTCGACGACAGCCATGAACGCAACCGGTATTTGAACGCCCTCATGTCTTCGAGTGAAAAGAAGAAAGCCAAGCGTGCCGTTGCAGTTAAAAAACATCGCGAGAAGCGCAAGTTGCGTTTGGGCACGTTTTTGCCGAGTGGTGAAAATGCCTACTTCGATTCGGACACTGAATTTTACCCAAGTGGAAGTCTTTCACACTTACCAAAGTGCTTTACGATATCACCTCACACAATGGAAACCACTTGGAGCGATTGGAAATGACTGCGTCAGTTACGAAATAGCCAATCACAATGTTTTATACGACACAATTTCGGAAGTCACTTCGTCAATTCCGAATGTGCTGTGCACTGTGTAAGTGACCCAATAATTGGTTAAGTGGTCTAATATATACCAAAATCGAAAAGTGAAACACGATAGTATATCGATATCGAATGAGTCAGAACAATAAGTTATGTTCTGTCGTGAACATCATCACTGCCCTGAACCATCAGGTACACACACTATTACGTCGATGTATTGCAGTACTGTAACGTTATCGTAATGCGAAATCAATCACTCTGCATTATCTTTGTGGTTGTTACAAGCAACGCTACGACACTAGGTTACCAAAAGTTCTGCTTCTTCCGACATTTGAAAGTCCCCAAGGACCGCCACCGTGTCGATAGCATTGCCCACGACGTTGACCAGTGCATGGGTGGTGTTTGCAAACGTTCCAAGCACTTGGACAATGCGATTCTTGTCAAAGGCAAAGTGCACTTGCACAGGCAAATGCAACGTACGGCCAACCATGTTTTGAACGAGGGGCTCCTTGTCGTGGAGGTGGGGGAAGAGCAATTGGACCGAATGGTAGGACAAACGCAGGTGAAGCGTCGACTCGGTGTACAAAACTACATTTGGGGACCGTATCGCCACATGTAAGGTGTGGAGATCCATGGAAAACGCTTCAAACGTTGTCATGTACAATGTCCACTGCTGAATCAGCTTCTCGCGGCCGACACTGCCCATTATCACCAGGTCTTCCCGCATGACATTGGTTAAAAAGTCGGTTTGGAAGGCGTGCTCGGTGGTCGATGGGTCGAGGAAGTTCCCGTTGGCGAACACACGAAAGTACTCGTTGCCGATGCGACACTCGAGGTCCAACGTTTGAAGGCTTGGGGGAATCGCCAGTCGCAGGGCGTCTAAGCTTCCTTCCATACGAGCCACGTCCGCTCGCAACTGACTCACGGATTGATTGAGTTGGTCAGTCACGTGCGTTTGTTCCTGCCGGTATCGGCGCTGGTTGACCTTGCTTTGATGACGTCTGATGGATTTCTTGGTCGAGAGTACGTTCGCGGCGGCTGCCCTTTTGATCATTTCCAAGTGGATCACGACTGGTGGCATGTTCATAGCGCAAATGGAAGTAATAGGTCTGGGCATCCCTACATGGGGCCATCCGAGCATGTTCGGTTGGCGTGACCTCTGACGAATGAGATTCGACATTGGAACTGCCTCATGATATATACGTTTGGACCAATCACAGCACGGGAAGCAGAGTCATCAGGCTAGGGATAACGTACAAGATATTGCCACCGTGCGTTATCACGTAAACTGATCGTTCGTTTTTTTGCTGTATTTATGCCCAAATTTCCATAATATTTTGACGTTATAGACGGCTTGGATGAAATTATCAGTCACGTTACTAAAAAACGATCCCAACAGCGAAATTCGAAGAGGAAGTTGTGTTACCAACACGTAGGGCTGGCAAGGGAAGTGCTATCAGTTGGACAGGACAAACGTGATGCACACCACAGTACTAGTACTATTAATACTCCGGAGTAGATACTGTACAGAACTGGCAATTTATATATATATAGTATTTTAATATTTTAATACTAGATATATATAATTGATATATATAATAGTACTATTCACATGTACTACACCTTTTTGCAGTTAAGTTGGACGAATGCCCGGTATATTTGGTCGTGTGCCCGATATATTTGGCGGTGTGCCCGATATAATTGGCCGTGTGCCCAAGCAATTGCCCATGTGCCCGATGAATTGTGTCGTGTGCCCGATGAAAATGGAAATCACGCAATAAAAAGTCAATTCAATATAGAAATGGTCGTCAAACGACACATGCCGCATCGTTGCTGTGACGTCGCCCATGTTGCCCATGGCCTCGGCGCATTCATCGTGGGTGCGTGTTCCTTGAGGTAAATCGAAAAATGAGCACTGCTCGCGACAGATTCAAATTTTGGACGGAGTTGAAGTATCGACGAAACGTTGTTGTAAACTTTACTTTATTCAAGTATAAATTTCGAATGATCTTGCCTTCGCGCGTTTTCCTCCGAACTTCAACCACATGATGTTTCCACCAAAACAGTATACTTTATTCAAGTGAATCCATTGAAGTCGATATATTAATAACAGTATATTATATTCCAGTGAATACTTCGAGAGAACATTGAAGTCGATATTTTTACTTGAACAAAGTATACTGTTGCCCCTATTCTTCAACGTTTTGTCCATACTTCAACTCCCACCAAAATTTGAATCTGTCGCGCGCAGAGCTCATTTTTCGATTTACCTCAAGGAACACGCACCCACGATGAATGCGCCGAGGCCATGGGCAACATGGGCGACGTCACAGCAACGATGCGGCATGTGTCGTTTGACGACCATTTCTATATTGAATTGACTTTTTATTGCGTGATTTCCATTTTCATCGGGCACACGACACAATTCATCGGGCACATGGGCAATTGCTTGGGCACACGGCCAATTATATCGGGCACACCGCCAAATATATCGGGCACACGACATCCGTGTGCCAAATTAAACGGGCATATGGCCAATTATATCGGGCACACCGCCAAATATATCGGGCACACGACATCCGGGTGCCAAATTTAACGGGCACATGGCCAATTATATCGGGCACACCGCCTAATATATCGGGCACACGACCAAATATACCGGGCATTCGTCCAACTTAACTGCAAAAAGGTGTAGTACTGTACTCTAATGGTACACTACGGTACAGTAGCTCACTGCAATCTACTAGTACGTATATCTATCCGTTTCGACCTGTTCTGAAGAGCGAATGCGATTTATATAACGTTGCCGGTAGTGTACTCCAATCAAATACGTACGTTGTCTCACATTAGTATAAAGTTGGGTCGACCAGCTCTAGCAGGACCGGGCTAAAGTAAAAACTCGTGATGAATGACAGCGTCGTGGCAACGCTGATCACAGCACACGCTTCCCAGAACCGCCATGGTCGTCGTCGGTCTTGGAGATGCCTCAACGGAATCCGTCCTGGAAGTTGCTCCAACCGCCCCGGGGGGCCAGGGCGGTTCAAGGCGCGGCAGCAAATGGGGCAAATTTTGCGCTGCTGAACCCATTCTTCCATACATGTTGAATGAAACTGGTGAAAGCACTCTAGAATATCGACTTGATCGGGGTGGTCCATCGGTTCCCAGCAAATCGCACAGGCTTCGTCTTCGTCATCACCTGCGACAGAGGGGTCAGTCCAGTCATCCAAGAGGTGGCCAACGTGGCGCAGAGCTTGATGCAAAGCTGGATTGGCTGCCCCGTCCATGTCGACGCAGTGGCCACCACTGATGTGTGCGAGCCACCGCAATTGGACAATCCACTTGTGGCATTCCGAGTTTATGCGACAGTGTCCCTCCATATCAAAAGCCGATGATGAAGCGAGGACGAATTGGTGCAACATCCAAGCCAGATAACCCAAGCGAGAGTCGTCTATTTCGATGTGTGCGACGAGTTGCTGGAGACTTGAGACAATGGAAACCGGGGGGTTGGATGATGGTTTGGGCGGGATGAAGGGGCATGGAGTGGCGTCGTCAATGTAGTTGTTGGTGGAGCGACGGCGTTGGATGGTGGAGAGGAATGCGTCCACGACGTGCTTGATCTGGACAAACGATGTCGAGTCGTACATCGTTACTGTGTCCGGTGCTGCAGCCTGGGCGCGGCAATATCCATCCACCACCACGCGGACGTACATCAAAATGGTAAGCAATGCTTGCATGGCCGCATTTCGCTGCCGTCGACCGGTCGCCGTGTCGGCCGCCTCGTGCAAGACATCGTAGAGAGGTAGAGCGACGATGGCTCGATGCAGAAGCCACGACAAGGGGTGGTCGTCGGGAAGGTTCTCCGTGGCAGCGACGAGAGATGCATGGAGCTCGCATACTTGGGTATACGACTTGCTCACACTCCATTGTGCCCCCGTTGCAGGACACGTCGCAATGTGCTCGTAACAAGTCTTCATGTTGTGTTGCCGAACTGCACACGGGAAACAAAACTGAAAGGCCCAATCAAATCACTTGTATTCAATCCTCTCAATCGGATTGGCCATGCCCGGAATCATATTTACGACTATTTTATCCAATCAAAAGTCAAATTACTCGGAATTGTGGGCATCGTCATTCACCAAGAGTATGGCGGCAACTCGTGTTGTCGTGCCTGCATGGAACTGCGTGGCCCCAGTCCTTCGCCGCCTCGACGATGCCGAACTCCTCAAACTTCAGCGTCCGGCTCCATTGAATGCAGACCCCGTGACGGAGTGGATCTCATTCTCCAAGGTAGCAGCAGCACAGACTGATTGGTTGCAACTGACAACACACTTCGCAGGACATTGTGCCAGTGCATTCGTCAGAGGTAGTCCCAGACACATCTCAAACCCTTTGTTTGCACACCGCCGCGCCTCCACTTGGCCGCATGGTATAGCTGCTGCTACTTTCCCTCTCTCTCTCTTGCAATGCATCTCGTCACGCCTCCCTCCAGGTCACGTCGACGGTAGAGGTGGGCGTTGGAGAGCTGGTGTTTGCCACCCCTGCGTTTGCAGTTGCGCTAAGCCGTCAATTCGTCGCGACGCACTGCCACATGTGCTTTCACAAACTTCGCGGCAAGATTGTGCAATGCGCCGACTGCCACTTCGCGCGGTACTGCGACCGCGGGTGCATGGCGGCGCACTTGGATCTGCACACGATCCAATGCCACATTCTTCTTCCGCAACTATATCCGCCACGCAGTACCCACGACCAAACGAACGACGACGCCGCGGACCTCCACACGAGGCTGGTGCTGGCCGTCGTCGCCATGGAAATCACCATGAACAACCCAAATGAAATCCAAGACTTATGCACTTATAACGCCACTGCCCAAGATGCAGCGTTCCTGGCCACTGGAACGACATTGCATGCTGCTATGAAGAACACTCCGGCGTGGATAACGCCATCGCATATCGCGGACGTGTATCGCGCTATTCGGTACAACTCGCATCCGATTGTGGTGGACTTGCACATGTCTGCCCTTGGACTCGGCTTGTTCCCAGACGCAGCCAAGGTGCGTGTATTCTAGTCTGTCCGTGTATTTCTTGACAAAAAAAATAGGATACAACAAAGATGGATTTTTATATAAATATAAGAAATAACTTTTTTTTATTAAATTTATATATATATATAGATTGCCTTGTATATCATGAAATTGACGGGTGAGTTGTGTGATATACAGTAGCCAAAGTAAGTACGTGTGTGTTCTAGTCTGTTTGTGTAGTTGGTGACAAAAACATCAGGCGGAAACAAAAAAGTTGTGTGCAAAAATGATGAAGTTTGAAATAAATATATATTTTTTCTATTTAATAGATATTTTCCGTGCCTTGTATATTACGAAAAATTGACCGGTGCTTTGTGTGATATACATACAGTACCCATATGAGGATGCTGAATACCGTTATTTTTACTTAGTACTTTTTTATCCTAGAAAGAAGTGTCGTTTGATGAAATAGCGCGATATGATTTATTTTGTGAAGTGACTTTGTATTAACACTATGTGTAGATGATCAACCATTCGTGTGCCCCCAACACGTTTCCACGCTTTAACGCGGCTAACCACGCGTTAGAGTTCCGCGCCGTGTCGCCGCTGCTTCCTGGTACGTTCACTTTAATATGACATATATACATTATAGTATATCTGAACACAGCTCCATGTTAGCATTCCAATAACGTTACCCACTCCATGATTTCATTCCACTATGTTTCGCCGTTTTCTGTAACACAACGTTTTAGTGTGCATTCGATCCTAATTTCGAGATTCGCGACGTCATTGGCTAATTCAATTTGCTTTAAGTGGCTCTGGTTGGCTCTGACAGAATTGACGAGTATATTCAGCCAATCAGACGTTCCAGTGTGATGCAATCTTGATTCGAAAACAGGCGAATGTTCGAATTTATATTGTCGAGTGTTTTAAGGGATGGATTAACAGTGTCTAAGCCAATCAAATCACGTTTTGTGGAATTGCTGCCAAGCCAAGGACTTCAGCACAGTCCCTGAACCCGATATATACTAACGTTTGTAATGTATAGTTGGCACAAGCTTAAATTGGATCAAATGCATTCGAGTGCTACATATTTTGCGAAATGACTCAAACACAAGTCCAAATTGGGGTGAAATGCACAATATCTGCCAACCGTCTTGTGTTTCATGTGTATATGTGCTGGTGAAGTCCATTGACCAAACCATCTCATTGGTTCCGTAGGCTCGGTAGTCACGTACTCGTACTTGGACGTGTTTGGCTTTGCATTATTGCAACCTACACCCACCCGGCAGAGTCTCCTCTACTCGGCATTCCAGTTTGACTGTCGATGCAGTCGATGTATTAGTAGTTTTAGTACCTCGCATGAACAAAGTGATGCGTGGAATGTCGATGCAAATCTAGCCCAACTCGATTCCGCCCAAAACAACCAAGACTGGGTTGCTGTCACCGACGTCTGCGACCAGATCATGACCCACTGGACCTCCACCCTCGACCTCCCTGCAAACTACCCGCTCATGTACGTCCTGCAAAAGAAGATGGACTTGGCTGCTACCCACGGGCCGGCCTCGCGTCAACGTGGAAACGTGTCGGCAGACGAAATATTGAATGTGTGTGGATTTGGGAACAACCCTCGTTGAATGAAGAAGCATATAACGTTGTCAGGTCGATATATCGCAAGCCACTACAGTGTAGTTGACGTGAATAAATCGCGTTGATTTTCCCTGTTTAAAGGCAACTACAAGGTGTACACTATGTTGGTGCAAGCATACTACATACTAGTATTGGACAGGCCCCGTACGACTACAGTAGTACTCGTTCGTATAGTAACGTTATAACTAGTACTATTGCTATACTAATTCGCCCCAATCTACGTGGAACGACGGGGACTTTTGTTTTGGCGACAAGGGATACTACTGTATATTGTATATATATTGGAGTTTTTTCTTGAATTGGAAAAATAAGGGTGCGCTAGTTGGTAACATTTCAAAAATATTACTCCATTGCCTGGCAAATGGGATAAATGTGTCAAAATTTCCATATTCGAAATCGAGGTAAAGGTCCATTTTGTAATACCGTATGGGTCCTCAAGGAATAAGTCCAATTTGGAATTATTGTGCTTTTCACCTTTTTTGGCTAATCCAGGTCTAATACCATGCTTTAATTACGGCACTCGCCGTGATTTTACGGATGCAAGATGAAGTATTTTTACGGTTCGCGTTGAATTATAACTATTCGTGATGCTTTGATTAGCTAAGAATTGGTTGAGGTACACGGTTTTATCTTATTCAACTTGTTTTACAATGATCAGCATCGACATGCGTTGGAGAAGTGTTGTGCATGTCCAAGTTTATGGCATTGAAGTTGACGTCGTTCGCCTCATACTTGGACTCTCACGAAGTAGCGTAACAAGATTCAACACGATGGGAACGTGACGTTCAATCGATCGCGCTGCATGTTGGTCTCGTCCACTTTGCGAGTGAGATGGTCCAGTAAATAACGACCTGTCTTTATTAGCCAGACTCTCGATTTGTGTTGTTTAACGTGTGGTTTTAATTTTGTCATCCATTGATTAGTGCGATAAAACAATGGGCAAATTGGATGAAAAGCACAATATGGATTTGGGTTAAAAGTCTTCAAGCAAGACATGTCTCAATATCTATCTGGCCCCAAAATGGCGTTTTGGGTCCGAATATTGTATTACTACGTAGTATTTCAGGTTGCCAGACCCACCCTAAATATATACTGGTATTATTAAGGGCCGCTCTGGTGGCTGCCATAAAAAATAATTTGATACCTGTTTTTGCAACTTTTCAGATAAATAATACTACGTATTAATTTTTCAAACAACAGCCTTTGTGTGTTTGACTACCAAATCTGACACAATCAAATTGACATACCTTATAGTGTATATGTATGTATTGCGACGGATTAATCTATTGCGACTCCTGTAATAACTGATATTTACTTGTGAATATGTTGAATATACTTCAAATTTGTATGACGCAATGGATTAACGAATGTCGGCCGGTTGTGAAATATCTCCTGTCGCAATACATATACACTATGCGGTAATTGGACCCATTTTGACTGTTTTCTGACAGAATAAACATCTATTAATATTTCAATCAACTGTCCAATTTCAGGTCTATGATACTCCAGACATATTTTCCCATCCAGAGGTCACACCAAAGTACTTTGCAAATATTTTCTCAGCTCCGATTTGAAATGGGAATTCTCTGCTAGAATGTAATTTGTCATAAAGTCATGTGACAACTAAATTCGGCCTAGTAAGTCCCTCTTTTTCAGATTCTGCTAGTATAATTCATATTTTCCGAAAATCAAAGCAAAAAACTAGAAGAAAAAACCTTCCAGAACATTAATCTGGTGTCTGGTCTCTATAACACGCACGGATGCGACAACCTTGCCAAGGACATGTTTCTTGTGGATGTCGTCCTGGAAATACGTTAGCTTCGACTCAAACACGCATGTAACAATGTCATCGCGTTCAGTTGAAGTTTGATGGGGCTTGAATTGACTGATGATCTCCGGCCAATTGGGGTTGCACGTCATGGTGACGAAGAGGTATGGCTTTCCGAACTTGCGCACAATTGTCATGGCATTGAACGCTTGCCGCCAGCAAAGCATGAAGGTACGATGGACTTTATGCCGACGTTGTGGAGCCCTGAGCGTCTCTCGGTGGCCTCATTGATGTTTGCGTACAAATCGAAACTTGTCCCCGTTCTGCGAAATGTAGCGCAGCCTGTTGGTTTCCACATGAACGAAGCCGACCGTAGTGTACATCTTGAACAGCATGGAGAATCGGCGCAGCATGTTGGAGAAGTCGTCGCCGTTCCGTTCTTGAAGCCAGTAGTTGAAGAACGCACGGAGAGACAATGATTTCCCGTCGGTCTTCGTCATGGTGTACTCCCATCCAGGACCTCCCATTGAAAACAGGAGGGGAAACTGCAATGCGTCGTGAAGTGGATTCGTTTCTCGAATGGATGTGAACCGGTTCGAGTTCAGACTTTGCAGAACCACATGACTGCCTTCTGTCGGTTCGCTGTCGTTTCCCTCCATGATTACCGTAAGATGAGCCACAGTAGGCAAGTTTTGTGTTCGGGCCTGCGCGCCACAAGCAGCATTCAGGACAATTTGAAGATTACCCCCCGATGTCCCGTCCGCTTCCGCTCGACGCAAATGTTCTTTGGCAGTGGCATACGTTCTCGCCAATGGGTTGTGGAGATCCATCATTGTGGCAGTGTACGGCGAACTGAACGCCGGAAACATGTTTCGTCGGTGTTGAAGTTGCTCCTCGCTGGGGTGCATGTAGATTTGGGCAAAGCTTGGTTGTCGCAGGTTGCGACTTCTGTTCAGGCTAGGCTACAATGGACCAATGTTGTGGGTCAACTGGCCTTGAATACAAAACGTCTTGGGGGCGCCTCCACTGTGCTTGACCTCGTTGGTTCCAATGGAAGTGAAGTTGAACTGAGCGTTGTACTGACGGATGTGCTCGATGAAGTTGCGCTGCTTGAAGAGATCTTTGAACGCTTGCATTCCCGGCGAGTCAGGGAAAACATAAGGATCCATCTTCACCTTGCCCTTCAAACAACAGGGCAGGTTCCTGTAGTGTAGTCGTGGGATGTCAACTTTGCTCGACAGTGCGGGCACGCTTCGTTTTTCCAGGAACTTGCAGCTGCGTGTGACCACCTTCCTCAAACGTACGATTGCCGTCCGACGTAATTCACAGGGTTTCGGCGTGGAGGCCGCACTTGAATCGCATCTTGGACGGAATATTGAGGAACGGTGGATCTTCGCCAAGGTCGATGTCGTGCAGGGCCTCCTCGTTGAATTGAACCTCACCATGAATAGCAGTAGGGTCTTCCAGTGGTTGAAACGGATACGGCTAGAGCGTCGGATGAAGGTCGATGTCGTGGAGCACTCCCTCGACAAAATCAATTTCATCTTGTAGTGCTTCAGAATTGTCCAATGACTGAAATGGACGCGGGTTGAGTTCAACATTCAAAATCGCCATCTCTTCACGGCTCATCGCAGGGCCAACTGGTATGATCGGGGGCTGATCGGGAACAAACTCCATCAAAAAGTCTTCCACGAACGGTCGTCAATCAGCTGGGCGCGTTTACGATTTCTTCACGCGCTTGGTTTGCCGATACTCCTTCTTCTTCGCAGCTGCCATCGCCGATTTTGCTTTCGCAATGCGAAGTTGATCCTGACGGTTGCATTGACAATTCAAAACGGTTTCCTTGTCCTCTCCACGATACCTTACGTTGCTCACCCACTGCGTTTTCGGACGTTTTTGACGAAGTAGTCCCGGACTCCGGCCCCGAGGCGAAACGATTCCGTGTTTGATGCAACGCCACATCCGCCGTGGGTTGCGCTGGTGGTACGGAACAGCGTGAGGACGTTTCAACCCCACCTATCTCATACATAGAAATGTAGGTCTAGATAAGCTGGTCACCCTTGGTTTTGTCGTCCGAATCAATTGGATACGCCAACTTAATCCGTTGCATCAACTCGCCATGGACTTCGCTCCCCGCATCGGGCAGAGATTGTTCACCGTCTGCGGCAGTGTTCGGCAATTGTTGCACTGTCGCGGTGATCCGGGGTCGTGCCTTCAACTTCGTCTTTCCCTTTGACGACGCCGTCGTTGTCAACTTCGTTTTGGCCTTTCCTTTGGCCGTCACCTTGGTGCGTTCCATTGTCTCTCCTTTTGGGCCATGCCATTCGCTCCATCGGGGTAGCTTCCATCTCATTCAAGTTTACGCTCGCTGGCTTGGCCATAGCCTTAGCTTTCAATTCGTTCTTGCCTTATCAAACGACATTGCCAGAATAGACCTTTGCCATTTGATTTCAATTCCTGACTAACAGTATGTTGATAGTTATGGTAGTTTGATACCCATCCTAAAATAGGATCTACTTCACCCCCCAGACGGTAATCCTTATGCCCCTTAAGGTATGGCCCTGGGTTTGCAAGGCTATCCATGACCAAGGATACCATGGGCGCATATTCAAGTTATACGCAGTACAACGCAAACATCCCATGATATGATGGAAAACCTCTCTACCTGAAAAGGATTTTTCGCAGGTAGGTCAAACGAAAAAATTAACTTATCGTTTCACACGAAGTTCACTACGCAAATTCCACCTGGCTATTTCGACCGAAGTCGGGGGAATAGTTGTACACTGCAAAAACTACAGTGCACTGTTTGAGTACTGTAGTGCTACGGAAACCGTAGGGAGCAACTTATTCTCGGGGTAGGCACGGTGTGCAACAGCCTCTCGGAGTGTGCTGCAGTACGTTTCGTAGGTCCGTCACTTTGGACCCACTCACATTTCTATTTTATCCTAACACCGAGCAGAACATGCAATCCCATGTCACAACAACAATATTTGACCGAATAGAATAGTTGGGTCTTAGTTATTATGTTTTCCTATTGAAAACTGAGTTTTCTGACTGCTCTGGACGAAATATATCTGGTTACTTGTATGTCTACAGTCATCATACCATACAGTATGTGAAAGAAGCGTTTCGAAAAAACCCATGGCAGGTCAGTGGACATTTATACTTGGTTTAAGTAAAGCATTTAAGTGGAAGGGCCGTTCCTCCTACACGATCAAATGACTTGACATTTGTATTGCAAAGGACACCACAACAGCGTTGGATCCAAGATTTTTCAACGTCTTTCTTGGCAACTTCAGCAGGCTTGTAGAGCGAGAGACGGTACATCATATTGCATATTGTCCAACGATGGAGGGCACAGTCCGGTGCAAACAAATCCGGCCGAAATAGCTGATGAACTTGTATCATTTGCCCAAACGTTACAGGCAATCTTGATTGCATACAGCTTCTTGATGGTTGAGTCCACGTCTGTCCAAAAAAGATCCCAAATTTCTTGGCGTATCGCATGTTTGAACGGCCGGAAGCCCGTAACGTCCAACGGTTGGAACAGATGCGTTGAGTTGGCTGGTAGAAATTGCAGCAAAATGTCAAATGATGTCGCAGCGTCCTAGATGTGCTCGGAGTAATGCGACGAACACCCGTCCAAAATGAGCAAAATGGGACGAGGCGTCGAAATGGGGATACTTGAGTTGAGCATGGACATCCACTTGCGACAAATGAATAAGTTAGTCCACCCTTTTTCGGACGCCGTAATTGCGGCACCAGGAATAGACATGCTGTCACATTCCAGTGTAGACACAGTGTCACCCGGCAGTACGAACAACGGTGGAATCTTTGTCCCGTTGGCAGCGACACATGCGACAATCGTGACGTGGGCTGAGGCTGTCGCTTCTTGAACGTAAACATGGTTGGTCGTGCGTTGGACAACCACCTTCCTTGACGTCTTGGATGGCGAAAAACTTGTCTCGTCCATGTTGAAGACCCGTGATGGATCCATGTCAACAAGTGACATGGAATGAGCAAGCTCATGAAAGAACTCCACCACGGTATCGTTGTCGACACCGTTTCGCGGTTTGCTCAGAGTTCTTGCTTTCGCAATCTTGAGATCTTGATTGCGTTCGAGGAATCTTTTGTACCAACCGCTCGTAAGCTTGGTGTCACGTGGTGTATCATGTACCACTTGAAGTATCTCGGTTTGCCTTGTCGACGATCTGACGACAGCCAACGGGCACCCCTTTGTGTTCCATTGCGACAATCCAAGTAACCAAGTCGTCTTCGAACTCCTTCGGCAAGACAGGCGGCCTGCCCATCGTCGTCGGTCGGTTGTCGCCCGTGATTGCCTTGGTGACATAGGTGCGCAGTGTACGTTGGGGTATACCATGTGCCTCGGCAGCGGTCAAAACACTGTGTGTCTTGTTGAGCACAGCTCGGACAGCCACTTCCATCGCTTCCTGCGTGTAGGACGTGCTTAGGGGCATTTCAAATTCAAAGCTGAAAACCTCTTTAAAATTGAATTTTTTGCCTCCATCTCATTATACAGGTAAAACTTATCACAAGGATTATTTTGTCCAATGAAACATCGTATTAATTTTAATTGGACGAAACACCTTGCCCGATCGATGGTCATTTAACCGATCAATGGTCGATCACGTTACCTCTGATCAGGGCCGCGCTGTCGTGGACCACCTGCTCTTTCGTGTAGTGCAGGCTCCATGCAAGCTTCTCGTCTGGGATGCGCGCGAATACGACAGAGTTGATGTTATCAACTCTGAGTAGTTCGACGGTCCTGAACTTGTCTTGGTCTTCCATGATGTGGAGCATGTGCATACTTCCTCCGTTCCGCAAAACTGGAGACATATAATTCACGGAACGATATCTCAGGCCAATAATCCCAAAATCGAACTAAATTTCGACCACAGATAGCCAATCAAAAGACGATTCTGAAGTTATTTTCAGATTTTTTTTATTGTTTCTTGTCGCTTCGCAAGCACCTGGCAGGACCCGGTGCTCAGGTCAGGAAATTTTCAAACATACGCCACACAGTCATTTTTCATTCAATCGTGCTCAAATCAAGCGCAAACGACTCGCGGCGCTGCGTAGATATTGCTAGAGCCCATCAGAATTGGAATTCCACAACTGGGCGCGGCATACTTAAGAAATTCAGCCACGACCAAGTTGGTATTTGGTGAGGGGAAGTCATACCATCCTCGTGTTGTACCGATTGATGCATAGTTAGCAGGTGCTGCAATACGAGAGTGTGGTTAGATACTCTAGACGCCTTGGTAGATGATGCCGCGAGAGTACTAGTGCACGTAATGCGTCCCTAGACCGCAGCGCCTGCTCGGCCAGGGCCTTGAGTCAGCAGGGCATGCTGAGGCCTACTGCTTGCATAACCTGCTTAGGAGGGCATGCAAGTCGTTGACATCAGCCGCTTGCACGACTTGCTGGTTCAAATCCCTGGCCGAGCAGGCCCTAAGGCCCTACGGTCTAGGGATGCATCGGTTGCTCCACCAGCCCGATCGCTGTCATGTCCGTCATGGATACCTTCATTACATTTTACGTTTGTATGTGGACTGGTGGCCAAGTCAGCACATGATGAACCTTCTCGTCGTAAAATCAAGTTTGTGAATAAAAATACACTTTTTGACGGTAGAGCCCATACAAACATTAAGATAAAAATGCAGGGAAAACCAATGTCTCCAGTTTTACGGAATAGAGGAAGTATGCGGTAGGCCATGCTTTTGAAACTCTCTTTCAGCCATTCAAACATGTACAGGATGCACAACAAGCTGCGACGCATTTTGCCTTTGCTTTGGTGGTATATGTGCAACTCCACCCGTGGGATTTATCGAATGAGATTTATTCGGATAATGTACGGATAACAGCGAGATTTATTGGAGTCGGTTGCTCCAAGCGCCTACACCGCCCACTTGCTTCTTTTATGCAATACACTACATCACATACATCTACCAGAAAACTCCCAAAAGGATTTCCATCTTGACAGGCTCGAGATGGATCCAATAGTTTTGGATCGGAAACAACGACAGATTCAAAAAAATGACGCAAATGCCGAAGCCGAATTTTCGTATAAAATATACGAAGTGTAAGGCGTTTCATTTGAAATCCGCCCAGCTTGTCCTACTTTTGAAGTCTCGTCTTTAATCGCCTGTTCTTGCGATGAGGCTGCAATAACATTACATTCTCAAGGACTTGGACGTGAGGAGCTTGATTAACCGTAGTTTATGCAGGACCCATCGTCGTATCGCTTGTCCATTTTGCTCGACGAATTTCTCAACTCTCCTTTGTAGAAAAAATGTAAATTCGGCACAGGTGTTTGACCTTTGTTGACTTGAACTACTAGAATGTATTTCATTTGATCACCGAAATTATCATAACCGCTTTATAGTGTTCCTTATATATTACTACTCAGATCCTAAAAGGTTGTCACCTTCCTCTTTGGATTGGCGGAATTTTTCTAATTTGGTGCTGTTTTCTTGTCTGATTGGTGCATCGGAAAGCGCAGGATTTCAACTTTGATTGGGTAGTTTCTGCGACTTCTAAGACACATTTGCTATTGAGATATGGGTCCACAAAGTTGACCAGTCATGCTTGACCAACCGTCGATCACCCGCTAGTAGGCCATAGTGCATTCTCACACCTTCAACCCACTCCGTACATACATTTACGAACACTGTATGCCTCTCGATCAACCCAACCATCCTGCCACACCTCCCAATACCGAACCGCGGCACCCAGACGGCCCCAACCACCTTCGACTGGAGGACCGTCACGGAGTGTACGAAACGCTGCTAAGCGTTGCTCAGGGCGATGTCCTCCCTCGTGGAGCGATAACAAAGGCGGCAGAACGGTTTCGTTGCCATCGGCGAACTATTTCGCGTCTCTGGACCCGCGCGCGGCAGTCTCTCCGCAGTGGCCGTCGTGATGCTGATGTTGCGACCAAAGGTAGTGGTAATTCTCCACCAATTAATATAAATATCACTTATGACAATTATAAAGTTTTAAAGGCGTACGTTTTTAGGCAATTCTGGACGAAAGGCTAAACGTTCTGCGGCGGAAATCGAACAAGCGATACGCCGAGTTCCCCACTTCTCCCGGCAGACTGTCAGATCTCTCTCAGCAGCGTGTGGGTTACCGGCTACGACCATTTCGCACCACAAGAAGGCGACACCAAGATTGCGTGCGAGATCTAGCTACGTGAAGCCTTTCTCACTGAAGACAATGTCAAGGCGCGTCTGAAGTATGCGTTGTCTTTTGTTCGACCTTTGTTGAATGGACGCCATCTTTTTGCCGATATGAACGATTTCGTTCATGTCGATGAAAAGTGGTTCTATTTGACAAAGGTTAAACGAAAGTACTACGTTTACGACGACGAGGAGGTTGCAGCCCGCTCTGTCAAGTCGAAAAGTTTTATCACTAAGGTCATGTTTCTAGCCGCTGTGGCCCGCCCCCGATATGATCATCATGCAAAGAAGATGTGGGATGGCAAGGTGGGCGTTTGGCCGTTCGTACAGGTTGCACCTGCTCTGCGAAGTAGCAAGAATCGACCCAAAGGTACCCCTGTGACAGTGCCAGTGACTGTCGATTCAAAAGTGTACTTCAATGC